TCAAAATGATTTTTGTTGCTCGGTGTTGAACTTTGTCCAAAGCAGCTATGTCTTTCTGAAGATGAGGTCTCCATGCTTGGATACAGTAATCCAAGTGGGGGCATAGCAGAGATTTATACAGTTTTATTTATTTTTTATTTATATATACAAGAGTTCCTACATTCTTGTATAGCCACTAGCACGAATAAGCATTTTGGGCAAGTGCTTAATCCTAATTATCCCCGGAATAAGACCCACCAAATCGTTTAACAACCAGGTAACCATTTTACTGTTGGGTAAACAGAGGCTACGGTTAAGGATTGGCGTCCAGTAAATCCTCAACCGCCAGGATACGAACCCAGGCCAAAGCACTTGCGAAACGCCAGTTGAATAACTACTACTTTTCTTTGATGTCAAAGGTTTGCTTGACTATTCCTAGGTTTTTTTTACTGCAGCTCTTATTTGTGTAACCTTCAGTGACTGAAGGATTGTGACTCCAAGGTCTTTTCCTTCATCAATCAGCTGCAAGGTACTTTTTATTTTGGTAGTTGTGATATGGATATATATACCTTAAACTTATGTCAAGGTCCTCCCCTCAAAGGTGGAACTACTAACCTTTCCCAGGAAGCAACCCTACACGTTTCCTAACTCGTGGGTACCTGTTTACTGGTAAGTGAATAGAAATATTAGGTGAAAGGAAACATGCCCAACCATTTCTATTCTGCACAAGATTTGAATTCAAGATCCCTGATAGTGAGTCAAGAATAAATCCAGTGTACTACTGAGAACTAGTTTAAACAACTACAAGTGTACAGTACTACAAATTGCATGTATTTTTTTAAAAAGTTTAGAATAAATGATATGCATAATATGCAGTACAGTAATATTAAGACAAGGCTGGGTTAGATGATCGTTCCCATTATCTGGGACTGGATGCCTGTTATGCTTATCAAGGTCCCACTATCCGATAACTGACCATTCCCCACAACAGCTGACTAATTCTCAGGGATCTGTTTACTGAACAGAGGAGTCAGTTTTTTTTTTTTTATTATTTATACATACTGTACAAGAGTACTTACATTCTTGTAAAGCTACTAGCACTCATAGCATTTTTGACAGGTCCTTAATCTTAACTTTTCCCTGGAATACGACCATCCAAATCGTTTAATAACAAGGTACCCATTCACTGCTGGGTGAACAGAGGCATACTGTTAAGGATTGCCACCTAGTTAATCCTTCCCGGCCAGGATACAAACCCAGGCCAAATCGCTTGCGAGGCATAGGGCAACTTACCATATTTCGTATCGCCTAATGCTGATAGGAAATGTGCCCAACCTTTTTCCTATCACATAATGCACCTGTTCACCTAGCAGTAAATATACCTAGGAGTTAGTGAGCTTCTTGTGGGGTTACATCCTGGGCAGGGTCAATGATTCGACTCAGAAAGGGGGGGAAAAGAGAACCTCGTTATAAGCCTAATGTGTATGATACAGTGGCTGCCTGTCCCCAAACACAATAAATTATTGTGAATTATTATATGAATAATAATCCGTATGTGTACAAAATTACCATTTGTATTCCCCTTATGAACAGTGAAGTATTTAAAGGATTTCTAGTAATTAACAAATAGAGTGCATGAAGCAGTGAAGTGGTGGAGGCAGACTCCATACACAACTTTCAGTGTAGTATGCCAGGAAATGTTTATGCCTTCACCAGTTGGCTGAAAGATGAGAAGTGGAACCAAAGAGCTAAAGCTCAATCTCCATAGGCACACTTAAGTGAATACATTAAGAATGTGTGAGGGATACCGTCTTAGGATACATATCACACTCCCCGTGGTGCAGTGGTAAAACACTCACCCAACACTTCGTGAGCGCTTTGGCCTGGGTTTGTATTCTGGCCGGGGAGGATTTACTAGGCGCCTGTTCACCCAGGTAATTGGGTGAATAGGTAATTGGTTGTTACACGATTTGACAGGTCGTATTCCGGGGAAAATTAGGATTAAGGACTTGCCAGAAATGCTATTCGTGCTAGTGGCTGTACAAGAATGTACGAACTCTTGTATATACTGTATAAAATAAAATAAAATCATACCCAAGACAGTCCCCAAGCAAATATATATAAAATAAAAAATAAAAAAAGGGGGGGGGGAACATGGCAGAAAATAGCAAATATACAATTTGGTCAACAAACAGCATTGTTTAAAATAGTAGACATGGGTTGACATTTAGGGGTAAGGTAAGTTACATGGAGTTAATTAGGTAGTACTTAGTTTTTATGTTTTTATCTTAAACTGGTTGGGAGAGGTACAGTCTTTAACATGATTGGGAAGGTCATTCCACATTCTGGGAATTTGGAATGACATATAATGGCATATATAATATACTGCATTATTTTTATTATTATATGGTTCTGACAATTACAAACGAGCCATATCGAAGCCCATATGTTCGACTGGATAATACCCAGTCCCACGTGGGTATTGAAAACAACGGGTCCGTCTAATTACCGCAAGCTACCACAAGCTACACAAGCTTCACAAAGCTTCCTGGCAATACGTTAGTAATGAATAAATATGATAGGTTAAGGTGACCTAACCTAACTTAACCAAACCAAACCTAACCTAACCTAACTGACGCTTGGATCGTCAACTTTATTTGGCGTCACCAGCTCTTTATTTTCGTCTAATTTCTTTATAAAAAAAGATACTTTTTCAGATTAAAATTATGTTTGTTCGTGTTGTACATTCTGCACCAACATTATAATGAGTAAATATATCTTATTTATTCATTACTAACGTATTGCCAGGAAGCTTTGTGCAGCTTGTGGTAATTAGACGGACCGAAAACAACTATTACCAAATACACAAGCTTTACTAAACACTAGATACTTTATCAACGATAAGCCGGTCAGCGAACTCTGCGCCCGCAGATAAGCTAACTATAATTCCTGCACCAATATGACATCCTATATGAAGGAGGCCACGAGTAGTGTTAGTACCTGGAGTGGGTATGTGAGGCAGGTAAGGTGTCTCACCACTTGCTTGTGTGGCAGGTGTGGCACAGGTGTAGGGGAAGGTGTGTCACAGGTGTAGGGTAGGTGTGCCTGCTGGTGCTGGCTCACGGCTGCTCCTCCACACGACTGCACCAGCTGCTCCGCGCACTCTGCCCAACTGCACCATATCGAAAAGTGTGCAGCACTTTCTCAAGATGAATTCATAATTTACCGGAATTTACCTGATGGCCGCTGACACTCTAGTGGCCTCGACGAGGACAGAAAGCCGATGGCTTGTCAAAGTCTTACCATTTGTCCTGGTGATTTTTTTCAAGCAGGATTTGTAAAGTTCAGCAGAGTTTTAGCATTTACGGTTTGGGCGGGTAGGCGGTTCCATGGGTGTAAAAAAACTCCAATTTCAGTTTCTTTATTATGCACCCCATTCCCATCTCTTGGGCGGTGGTGGAAAGGGTTACAGAGGCACATAATGGGTTCAGGTACTGAACCACATAGTTCGTTTAGCTAAGCAATTGACAATCTTTTGAAGCTAGTTACACAATTATTAATGTTACATAAGTTTCACATAATGTTACATAAGTTTTGTCCGGAACGCTTTGCGTGTTAGTGGCTTTGCAAGAATGTAAAAATATTACTCTAATGTAATCTCACCAACTCATTATACCTTCTTGTAAATAAAATACTATTATTATTCATATGCAGGCGATGAGTCACAATAACGTGGCTGAAGTATGTTGACCAGACCACACACTAGAAGTTGAAGGGACGACGACGTTTCGGTCGTCCTCAGGTGTCTTCATTGTAAAAGGAGTTAATTTCCAAACAGGGTTGTAAAAATAAATCTTATCTTATCTTTGCATTCAATTTTGTACGGTAATTTTTCAAACTTAAAATGTAAATAGCTATATATATATACCCCCTCTAAATGAAAAATGGCCTAATTTAACATATGTGCTAAAAATATTAACATAAATAATTCGTTTGTTAGATAACAAGATATTCATAGCAATAAGGTTTCTTGGAATGGCCTATAATGCACGCAAATACTAGTTTACGCACTTTTCGGGTAGTACGCCTGGAATTTCAAAATGGCGTTCAAACGGCGGTTGGTCGTTGAAGGCTCAGCGCTCAGTAGCATCGCTGCCGCCAAAGCGACAACATGTACTGCTGATTTCCGACATCAGCAACATTGCTCCAGGTAAGAGTGATAATTCTTTTTGACATATTTATATCTTATATATACACAGTATATAGAATTATATAATATAATGGGGTTCCGCGTATGGAGTTTGCTTCGAACAATGCCTATCAATGTTAGTTTAGTTCGTTTATTATGCACCCCATACCCATCTTGTGGGCTACCCCCTTGAGGTGCTTCCGGGGCTTAGTGTCCCCGCGGCCCGGTCGTCGACCAGGCCTCCTGGGGCCAGATTCACGAAAGCACTTACGAACGTGTACATCTTTCCTCAATCTTTGACGGCTTTGGTTACATTTATTAAACAGCTTACGAGCATGAAAACTTCCCATTCAACTGTTGTTATTGTTATAAACAGCCTCCTGGTGCTTCGGAGCTCATTAACTGTTTAATATTTGTAAACAAAGCCGCCAAAGATTGAGAAAAGATGGACAGGTTCGTAAGTGTTTTTGTGAATCAGGCCCCTGGTTGCTGGACTGATCAACCAGGCTGTTGGACGCGGCTGCTCGCAGCCTGACGTATGCGTCACAGCCTGGTTGATCAGGTATCCTTTGGAGGTGCTTATCCAGTTCTCTCTTGAACACTGTGAGGGGTCGGCCAGTTATGCCCCTTATGTGTAGTGGAAGCGTGTTGAACAGTCTCGGGCCTCTGATGTTGATAGTTCTCTCTGAGTACCTGTTGTACCTCTGCTGGGCGGTAGTGGAAAGGGTTACAGAGGCACATAATGGGCTCAGGGACTGAACCCCACAATTCATTTAGCTAAGCAAGTTACAATCTTGATGAGCTAGTTACAAAATTTAATATAAGTCGTCACATCAACAATGGGTTCGAGATCGACCTCAAGTACAGGTTCTAAATTAAGCACCTGACATATGTGGAGAGCAAGTGTCACAATTTATGTTTGTCCTGCACACCGCCCCCCATCCAGTGGGCAGCGGTGGATAGGTTACAATCACTCGGTTACTACCTACAGTTAGCAGACTGGGGATATTTGGCTAAAATTTCTGGTAGCAGATCAGGTCCCCCATTTGTTCCGATTTTTTTCAAATTGGATTTTACAATTCAAGTGTTATGTTATTTACTGCTTTAGCAGATGGGCGGTTCCATGGGTTTATAACCCTGTGGGTGAAAATATAGCTTATGTTTTCAGTCCTACACTGCGGCTTGTTGGACTTGAAACCGTTGTTCCTTGTTTGTGTTCCATCTGACCTTTTGAAGTTGTTCTCTGGATCCATATCTTCGAAACTGTTCAATATTTTAATAGGCAGGCGATGAGTCACAATAACGTGGCTGAAGTATGTTGACCAGACCACACACTAGAAGTTGAAGGGACGACGAGTTTCGGTCCGTCCTGGACCATTCTCAAGTCGATTCAAGTCGATATTTTAATAGTTTCGGTGAGATCCATCCTGGCATGCCTAGTTTGCAGTGTTGTTAGCCCTGTGACCCTCAACCGTTCATGGTATGAAACTAGACCTCATTCTGCAATTATTTTTGTCGCCTGGTGTTCAATTTTCTCCATGAAAGGTTGGGCGCGGGGTGGGTTCTCTGTCGGCCTCCAAGTGGGTTCTCTGTCGGGCTCCAAGTAGGTTCTCTGTCGGGCTCCAAGTGGGTTCTCTGTCGGGCCCCAAGTGGGTTCTCTGTCGGGCCCCAAGTGGGTTCTCTGTCGGGCCCCAAGTGGGTTCTCTGTCGGGCCCCAAGTGGGTTCTCTGTCGGGCCCCAAGTGGGTTCTCTGTCGGGCCCCAAGTGGGTTCTCTGTCGGGGCTCCGGGGTGGGTTGTCGGTCGGGGCTCCGGGGTGGGTTGTCGGTCGGGGCTCCGGGGTGGGTTGTCGGTCGGGGCTCCGGGGTGGGTTGTCGGTCGGGGCTCCGGGGTGGGTTGTCGGTCGGGGCTCCGGGGTGGGTTGTCGGTCGGGGCTCCGGGGTGGGTTGTCGGTCGGGGCTCCGGGGTGGGTTGTCGGTCGGGGCTCCGGGGTGGGTTGTCGGTCGGGGCTCCGGGGTGGGTTGTCGGTCGGGGCTCCGGGGTGGGTTGTCGGTCGGGGCTCCGGGGTGGGTTGTCGGTCGGGGCTCCGGGGTGGGTTGTCGGTCGGGGCTCCGGGGTGGGTTGTCGGTCGGGGCTCCGGGGTGGGTTGTCGGTCGGGGCTCCGGGGGGGGTTGTCGGTCGGGGCTCCGGGGTGGGTTGTCGGTCGGGGCTCCGGGGTGGGTTGTCGGTCGGGGCTCCGGGGTGGGTTGTCGGTCGGGGCTCAGGGGTGGGTTGTCGGTCGGGGCTCCGGGCAGGCTTTAGGTACTCAACTGGCGGGCTCTGGGTGGGTGACTGTTCGGCTTCGGGTGGGTTCTTGGTAGGGCTTGGGGGGTGTGGGTTCTTGGTAGGGCTTGGGGGGGTGTGGGTACTTGGTAGGGCTTGGGGCGTGTGGGTACTTGGTAGGGCTTGGGGGGGTGTGGGTTCTTGGTAGGGCTTGGGGGGGTGTGGGTTCTTGGTAGGGCTTGAGGGGGTGTGGGTTCTTGGTAGGGCTTGGGGGGGTGTGGGTTCTTGGTAGGACTTGGGGGGTGTGGGTTCTTGGTAGGGCTTGGGGGGGTGTGGGTTCTTGGTAGGGCTTGGGGGGGGGTGTGGGTTCTTGGTAGGGCTTGGGGGGGTGTGGGTTCTTGGTAGGGCTTGGGGGGGGTGTGGGTTCTTGGTAGGGCTTGGGGGGGTGTGGGTACTTGGTAGGGCTTGGGGGGGTGTGGGTTCTTGGTAGGGCTCGGGGGGGTGTGGGTTCTTGGTAGGGCTCGGGGGGTGTGGGTTCTTGGTAGGGCTCGGGGGGGTGTGGGTTCTTGGTAGGGCTCGGGGGGGGGGGGGGTGTGGGTTCTTGGTAGGGCTCGGGGGGGTGTGGGTTCTTGGTAGGGCTCGGGGGGGGGTGTGGGTTCTTGGTAGGGCTCAAGGGGGTGTGGGTTCTTGGTAGGGCTCGGGGGGTGTGGGTTCTTGGTAGGGCTCGGGGGGGTGTGGGTTCTTGGTAGGGCTCGGGGGGGGTGTGGGTTCTTGGTAGGGCTCGGGGGGGGGTGTGGGTTCTTGGTAGGGCTCGGGGGGGTGTGGGTTCTTGGTAGGGCTCGGGGGGGGTGTGGGTTCTTGGTAGGGCTCGGGGGGGTGTGGGTTCTTGGTAGGGCTCGGGGGGTGTGGGTTCTTGGTAGGGCTCGGGGGGGTGTGGGTTCTTGGTAGGGCTCGGGGGGGTTGGGTTCTCGGTAGGGCTCGGGGCGGGCTCCAGGTACTCAACTGACGGGTTCCGGTTCACTCAACTGGCGGCTCCGGTTCACTCAACTGGCGGGCTCCGGTTTATTAAACTGGCGGGCTCCGGGTGTTTGACTGGTCGGGCTCCGGTGGGGTGACTGTTCGGGCTCCAGGTGGGTGTCTGTCCGGCTTAGGGTATGTTCTTGGTAGGGCTTCGGGGTGGGTTCTTGGTAGGACTTAGGGTTGGCTCCCGGTCAGGCTCAGGGTAGGCTCTTTCGGGTTCGGGATGGGCTCTCGAGCTTGGGGTACCTCTGTAGGGCTCGGGGTAGGTTCTTGGTCGGGCCCAGGGTGGGTTCTCTGTAGGGCTCAAGGTGTTTTCATGGTAGGACTAGGGGTGGGTTCTCTGTGGGGATCAGGGTGGGTTCTCGGTAGGGCTCGGGTGGGTTCTCGGTCGGGGCTCGGGGCGGGCTCCAGGTACTCAACTGACGGGTTCCAGTTCACTCAACTGGCGGGCTCCGGTTCACTCAACTGGCGGGCTCCGGTTTACTAAACTGGCGGGCTCCGGGTGTTTTGACTGGTCGGGCTCCGGGTGGGTGGACTGTTCGGGCTCCAGGTGGGTGTCTGTCCGGCTTCGGGTGTTTGAGTGGTCGGGCTCCGGGTGGGTGACTGTTCGGGCTCCAGGTGGGTGTCTGTCCGGCTTCGGGTGGGTTCTCGGTAGGGCTTGGAGGTGGGTTCTCGGTAGGGCTTGGGGTGGGTTCTCGGTAGG